GGGGGAGGCCGCGCTGCCGCCTTGAGACGCGGTGTAATCTCGGTTCAAGGAGGCCGTGCGTGACCCGTGCGGGCGGCAGCGGCAAGGACGCTCGTCCCCGCGTCCTGCGGGCAGCACAAGCGCGGGCTCGGTGGCGGGGACCGCCGTTTCGAAAGAGCCAGAAAGGTGCAGGACACCGGCGTTCCTGGCAGATTCATCTCCAGGTCGCTGGGAATATGTCACCTGTCCTTCGATTTAGGGATTCTTTGTCTAGCGGCAGCCTGCAGGGAGCTAAAACCTTTGCACTCTGAAATCTAAACGGAAGACAGCATTCCTTTTCGTAAAAACTTCTGATTTGCTCAGTCTTGCGATTTTTGTTTTCCTTAGGATTTTAATTTCCTCAGTCTTACTATTTTGAGTATGCTCACTCCTGTTTTTCCTTGCTTTCATCACCAGAACACGATGAAGTAGTCTGTCAGGGAATACACTGCCTTGTCCTGCAAAGAAAACTCAAACCATGGAGAAACAGCACAGCACAAATTCTAAAAAGATAGTACTGGGAACCACTCCGTGAAAGAACGTGAGAATATTTTGGTACATACTTCCTCTCTCTAAGCTAAACCTCCCAGTGTGCACAGATCAAGAGCCCAGTTCATCAGTCCTTACTGTCTGTCTAAAACCTGGTATAAGTGTTCCCTCTCAATCAGTATCCTTTGCCCTCACCTTCAGTGGGTGTAATGGAGACATGCCAAACTTAAATAGGGGTTTGCAGAGCTACGGTTATTTCATAATCAGGACAGCCCTTACTTGCCTCCAGGTAACTCAGGTCTTGTGCTGCTGCTCTTGCAGATGTGGTTTTGCCATGCCCACTGAAAAGATGTTGAATCTCCTGACTGAGACCTTGATTTCTGCCTGATTTTCCAGAGCTTTCCTCTGACCCTTCCCTCCAGCTCACTATGTATCTACTTGTACTTTGTAGCTAAATAAAATTAAGCAATGCTTTGGAGCTTATTAAATGGACGTGACAAAGACCTGACTGTAATTCACAGGAGTTATTTAATCCAAATCATACCACAGACATTATTTACATAGAAGCAAATCATCTGGTAATTAAATACAAGGGGTGAATCAGATGCTGATTTCAAAGAAGAGGGATTGAAACACAGCATGTGGAAAATATTAAAACTGTAAAGACTCAACTGTCAATAGTCTCATGAGGACAAAGACCACCATTCGGACAGCATTTGAAGTTAATGAAAATAAAAATTAGTATTTTACACATTAAAGGGTATCACATTTTTCCTGACAAGTACTACCTGAGGTTTGGGAGCCTGCACAGAGACATTACTGTGATAAACATAAATACAGAAAGTTGTTTTTACAGGCCTTTTATGAATTTAACAATTCTGTCCAATCCTCTTTTCCCAGCTGGAAATGACAAACTACAATGATCAAAGAAGCTTATGATTCCATGGAATCCGTCCTCCAGGTGGTACCAGGTCACTTGCACACCATTGTCCTCCAGTCTCTTCTTGTAGAGCAAGCCGTCGTCCCTCAGCACATCGTACTCACAAGTCAAGATGAAAGACTCAGGCAGCTGGTGAACAACAGCATCTTCAGCTAACAGCGGACACAGGTTGGGCTCACAGATTCTTTTCACTGTCTCATAAACTTCAGCTATGAAATCTGTAGGCCTAAGTGGCTTCACACCACGGACCTTAAATTTCTCAGGGATGTTATCTGCGCTCACCCACTTCCTGTACTTCAGCCTCAACTCTGGAGGAATATGAGAGCCCTCCAAGACCTCTTGCATATGCAATGCATGCCCATTTAGGTACTGCAAAGCAAAGAAAGCGGCACGTTCTCGAAATAAGAGAGGGACTCCTCTATTTTGCTGATAAGATGGTAAATTGAAGTCCAGTGCCTGAAGGCCTGGGTAGATCAAGATCTGAGCACGTAGTTTGGGGAGGTCTGATCTACCTGCAAGGGTCTGGCTAACAGCAGCTGCTAGATTGCCCCCAGCGCTGTCCCCGCAGACAATTATACGGGCAGGGTCCACGCCATAATGCTCTACATTCTTCATAAAGTGTATGGTGGCGTTAAGACAGTCTTCATACGCTGCAGGGTATTTGTGTTCAGGAGCTAAACGATACCTAGTATGTAAAAGGAGACAATAGAAGAGAAGGAAACATCATAACTGTAAATACAAATCTGCAACAGCACCTTGGCTTTCCCTGTGTTGTTTGCAGTATTTTTCCTTCAGCAAAAAAGGTGTCATTTTCTGCTAAACAGTTATTTCATAGAATCATAGAATTGTTTGGGTTGGAAGAGACCTTAAAGATCATCCAGTCCAACCCCCCTGCCATGGGCAAGGACACCTGACATTAAACCAGGTTGCTCAATGTTCTGTGCAACCTGGCCTTGAACGCTTCCAGCGAGGGGGCATCCACAACTTCCCTGGGCAACCTGTTCTAGTGTCTCACCACCCTCACAGTAAATAATTTCTTCCTAGTATCTAAATCTGCCCTCTTCCAGTTTAAAACCATTCGCCCTTGTTCTATTGCTACCTGCCCTTGTAAAAAGTTCCTCCCCAGCTTTCCTATAGGACCCCTTCAGGAACTGGAAGGTCGCTGTAAGGTCCCCCCCAGAGCATTCTCTTCTCTAGGCTGAGCAGCCCCAACTCTCACAGCTGGTCCTCATAGGGAAGGTGCTGCAGCCCTCTGATCAGCTTCATGGCCCTCCTCTGGACCTGCTTCAACAGCTCCATGTCCTTCTTATATTGGGGGCCACAGACTTTTTTCCCAGTGACTTATCACATATAAATGGTAGCCAGTAGGATGGAGTTGCAAGGACATAGCGGAGATGGGATCTTCTGGGAACAGCACTGATCATAACTTCAGTGATTTTTAGTTCATTTTAGACTTCTGGTGTAGACTACATCTGACTTGTGGATGAGGTAATTTCATTATTCTGTATCTCACTTAGGACATTTCCCCTTGAGTATTATTTTTATTTTTCTTCATTTATTTAAATAACTGGGACAGAGTTATATTTTTTATATTATTAGTATTAAAATATATTAGCATTTGATTCTGTTAGAAAGCTCCTTGAAGTCTAGAGGGCAATGACTTAAACAGATCACTCAATCACCACCTTCCAAGTTTGTCAGGCAGTTCCCAACACATGAGAAAACTCTTCTGGAAAGCATTCCTTCTTTTTGTGTGGTGGGGAGATACATGAACCTTACTTTGGGGTCTGATGGGACTCTCCCTGCATTTGCAGTTTGAGGGGGAAGAAACTCAAATAGTCCCTTTGAAATTCTGTCTGACCATCCTGGGGAAACAGTTTACTGAGGAGGAGCGTTCCCACAAGCTGAGAAGTGAAAAGAAGCAAAAAGACTTCCATAGGGTAGTGCTGACATAACTCACCCAACAGACACAACCACCAGCTCGCTTTTTCTGGCAATGTAACGGCAGATGTTTTCGTGGGAATCTGCAGAAATTTGGGTGTTGTCAGCTGCCCGCTCCGTTTCCAGGTGCAATGGCCAAGGCAGGTGGAAGCCGCCTTCTCCCGCCCTGGCCGTGCCCCTCCCGACCCCCAAGCGCCGTCTCCCCTCCCCTTGTCCCTCTTCCCCTCAGCTCTGCGCGTCCCCTCAGGGCAGCGGCAGCGGTTCCCCAGCAGCGCTGAGCTGGCCGAAAATGACAGGAAAGCTCAGCCAGATTTCAGACTTTCTGCCAAGTCTCAGGACAGAATTCACCCCCCCGCCTGCAGAAGGTGACAGCTGCGCTGCCGGGGGGGAAGCGACCCGGGCCGCCCTACCGATGCTGCCGTACAGCCAGCCGCCGCCGTGGAAGAAGATGGCGCCCGCCCGCAGGCCGGCAGATGGCGTGCGGGGTCGGTAGACCCGCACCGGCACCCGGCCGAACCGCGCGTCCGCCAGCGAGAGCTGCGGGTCTGGTCCCAGCTTCCTCCCGGCGCGCACGTAGCGGGTGAAGGCGATCTGGCTGCACACCCCGATCTTTTCCAAAATCTTCCCCTGTTGGGAGAGAAAGAGCCCGGCTGAGCGGAGGGCGGCCTCCCCGGGGGCAGCCACCAGGCTCGGGGCCGGCTGCCACACAGCACGCCAGGCAGGGTGCCGTGAGGGAGACCCTGCGCCTGCCTTCCCCCGGCTTCTGCGAGGCCTTAGGGGGCACTCAGGCTTCGTGTTGCGGGGTTCCGCCTGCTCCAGAGCCGCTCGCCTCTACCCTCGCCTGTAGCGGACGCTCCGAGTTGGTCCTCACCAGAACGCAGGCACAGGAGAAGATGGAGCCATGGCGGTCCCCTGAGAGGCTGCGCACCTGGGGGAGCGGGGTTGCTTTGGCACCGTGCGCCTGAGCAGGTAGGCCCCATGCGTCCAACTCACACTCTCTCAGGCAAAATGTTTTAGGGAAGAAAAAACAAGAGTTTCCATCTTGGTGTCACCAAGTCCTACTGTTTCATACCACCCTCCCGCCAACCCAAGCATCATTCCTCTAAGGTTTTCTGTGGGTCTGGTTTTATCTGCTTAAGAAGCACCTAGGCCTCCAGCAGTGTTACTGGAAGGCCCCAAGAATGGCCTAAAAGCATCATATGTGCTTAGCTAAAATGGAAATCAAAGCAATCTCACTTCTTATAAATAATTAATTTTAATTTAATTAGAGAAGCTCAGTTGATAACGCTTGGACTCTAGTGGTTGGCTTCATAACTGCGTAATAAGAAAATCTGACTGAAACTGTCTGAGGTCTAACAGAAATTATTTTCCAAAAACTGTCTCCTAAAGTCGGACCAAAAAAAAGGGAAACTTTCATTTAGGTCTTGATATAGCCAGCAAGATTTTTGTATTTACACAGATAACCTTAAAAAAAATAACACCTAAACCACATTTCTGGCAGAAATCATGGCAGAGTAACTCACCGTAGCATCTGTACTAATCATAGAAGCAAGGACAATTCGAAGCTTTCCAGGATGATTCACTCCAGGAGGGATACTGAAATTGGAGTACTCGCGTTGAATTGTTTCCATAATTGCTAGTATGAATGCAGCAGTAAAAATCACCAGCAGTATCGCTGGCAGTATATAAAAAAATACCATTTCACTTAACCAAAGGTGAGGTGTCTTTATGCCTATCTTTGATTTAGCTTTCTCAAATAACAATAAACCATAGAGCAGTCCAAGTCACAACAGATCTCTCAGATGCCACACACTTTAAAGTCCTTGGGAATGTTGTGCAAGGTGCGAGCACACATCCTATTGGAGAAGAGTCAGAGTAGGATGTGTTTACATCTGATTCCATCTACACCACACTGCTTCCTGCATTGTGGACATTGTTTAGAAGTTTGGAATATGGAATATATAGTTTTAACAAGGACATTTAGAAAAGGAAACAGGAAATAACGTGAAGATTAAATAACAGGAAAAGTAAAAAAGCTAACTAACGTGTGCCCTACAAAAGTAAGTGCATCAATCTTGTTTTGTTGTTAGAGTCTTTAATTACAGGAATAAGTTTTTCAGCGTATTTATACATTTGATAAACACAGACAAACACTTAGAGCATTTCCTCCATTGTAATTTAACCAAAGCTGTTAATAAAATATCTCTGCTGGGAACAGTTGTAGATTTGACTTAATTTTTTCTGAGTCTAAAATACCAGTTACCTGGCCCATAAAAAATTTCTGCATGTCAGTGACAAAGAATCTTAGACTCAGATACGATGAGTAGCACGTAGCACAGGCACTCCATTATAGCCTTGTAATATCAGTGTCTTTCTCCTTTGCCAAAACATACTTATGCTTCTGGGAAGAATGAAACCATAGACCATGGTTGAATAAAATGGGTCAGACCAGATGTTCATTTAAAACTGTACTGCATTTTTAATGTTTACTGAGAAAGTAGCAAGTGTCTAGTCCAAGTAGATCATTAAAAGAGGCAGACTGCACATGGAATACTTCACACAGCACTAGAAGAAACTTTCATAGCATTCTTGAAATACCTTTTTCAGTGGTCACATTGGCATAAATGCTCATTAACAAATTGTCCGATATAAACCTCTTATATAGAATTTAGAAGCATAAAAAACCACAAAAAATGGATTTTCTTACAGAAGGAAAGAAAATTGTTTCTATAAGCCTTTTAGAAAGTTCACGATATTGTCAAGACCCCTTTTTCCAGATGAAAATGACAACCATTCACTATTAAATAAATGTATTATTCCGTGGAATCCGTCCTCCAGGTGGTACCAGGTCACTCGCACGCCGTTGTCCTCCAGTCTCTTCTTGTAGAGCAAGCCGTCGTCCCTCAGCACATCGTACTCACAAGTCAAGATGAAAGACTCAGGCAGCTGGTGAACAACAGCATCTTCAGCTAACAGCGGACACAGGTTGGGCTCACAGAATCTTTTCACTGTCTCAAAAACTTCTGTTGTACAATCAAGTAGCACATGTGGTTTGTAGCCTCTGACCTTAAATTTCTCAGGGATGTTATCTGGACTTACCCACTTCCTGTAATTCAACTTAATATCTATAGGAATATGGGAACCCTCCAAGACCTCTTCCAGATTTGACGCGTGTCCATTTAGGTACTGTAGCAAGTAGAAAGCGGCACGTTCTCGAAATAAGAGAGGGACTGCTCGGTTTTGCTGATAGGATGGTAAATTGAAGTCCAGTGCCTGAAGGCCTGGGTAGATCAAGATCTGAGCATGTAGTCTGGGGAGGTCTGATCTACCTGCAAGGGTCTGGCTAACAGCAGCTGCTAGATTGCCCCCAGCACTGTCCCCGCAGACAATTATACGGGCAGGGTCCACGCCATAATGCTCTACATTCTTCATAAAGTGTATGGTGGCGTTAAGACAGTCTTCATACGCTGCGGGGTATTTGTGTTCAGGAGCTAAACGATACCTAGTATGTAAAAGGAGACAACAAAAGTACAAGAAAGAAATACTAGTTTTAAATGTATTACTGAAAATACTGGTTCCTGCAACCAGCAGCACCCTGATTATTTCGGAATTTTCCCTTTCTCCACCGGATGATCGTATAGATAAAATATACATAAACTCTGGCTAGTTGGACCAGGTGGTGCAGAGTAACTTGTTAGGATATCATCTCTTTAGGGCGTTTCTCAGATCTTTAACAACACAGGAGTACTAAGCTGCCAGCTATGTCTAGCTTTTAATGCCAATCATTAGTAATTTTATGCATTAGCTTTCCATGGATCAGATATAAATTACAATACTTTTGTTTTATGTCTTTGTTACAGTGCAACCATATCCTCATAATCCAAATTGTTATGTCAGTATATTGATTGTGATGTTTGCTTGTCATTCACATAGTGCTTCTGTAAGCATCTAGCAGAGTTTCCTTGAATAAGGATTAAGTAGAATATATGACTTACTATTTGTTTACTGTCAGTTTTTGGTTACAAATTTGAAAACATTGATTCAGAACTTCATTTTTCCAGCTAGATATCCCAAAGCATTATTTGTGATTTAGTCAGACAGTGAAGATTTAGCTTGATTCAGTCTCCAGTGGCTCCAAGCAAGAGCAACGTGAATGTGTAAATCACATGCTTAACAAGTCCCACAGAAACATTTCTCTGAGAATGGTTGTTGTTATGATCAGGGAATCTATAAGCTGTTACTTATACTGTAGGAAATAATCTCTAAAAAGCAGCATGAGGAAAGACTCACCCAACAGATACAACCACTGATTCGCTTTCTCTGGCAATAGAGCGGCATAGCTTTTCGTAAGCCTCTGAAAGAAACATATTGGGTGGGGTTGGGGTTTGGTTTGAGTTTGTTGGTTTGTTTGTTTGTTGCCAGAGTACTAATGTTGTCTATTGCAAAGTCAAAGAATTTCAAGAAGAAAATACTCTATTTTTCTCTGCCCCTTTGTACATAGCTCCTTAGATCTTTTTTACCCTCTCACCTTCCATTTCAGTATTTGCATGCTGTATTTTTCCCCTTCATATCGCATTGTCCATGTCTTTAAGAAAAATCACATCATGCACAGCAGATGCTTTCTTCTGACAGCAAGACTTAGGAAAGTGCATCTGTGGTTATACTCGAGCTTCATAACTGCTACAGATCAAGCAACATTCAACTTTAGCATTTATGAAGTAGATACTTATTTAACTAAATTATATTTATTTTCTGTTCAGTATCTTACCAAGACTTCCAAATACCCATCCTCCTCCATGGAAAAACATAACTCCTCTCCTTTGGGTGGCAGATGGAACCTTAGGCTGATAAATCCTTACAGGCACTTTCTCAAAGCACAGATCCTTGATGAAGAGCTTCGGGTCCGCTCCAAGAGTCTTTCTGCCTTGCATGTAGCGGACAAAGCTAACCTGACTGCAAATGCCAATGTTTTCCAAAATCTTTCCCTGTTAAAAGGCAAAGAGAATAGGGAGTTTACTCAAGAGATTCTGTGTTTTCTAAGGTAAAGGAACTGTATGGGCAGTATCCTCATGATGTCTAAGTTGTATATTTTAGGGGAATCATAAAGTGTTTAAGTAGTTGTACAGGTATGGTGCAACTGACCAAATAACAGTAGCATCATGAGAGTTCACATGAACAGCAGTGTTCCCTGAAGAACATAGTCCCAAAACAATGCAGCATTAACACAGACTGGTGAAATACATCCCTTTGCTTTCTCAGTAGGTCCTTTACCTAACATTGAAAAGGAGTTTAGTTTTCACTGGTTATTCTGTAGTTGCCCCTGAGAAGATGTAAAAACATCTTAGTAGGCCTAAACTTCTGTTCTTTCTGTATGCCATTGTGATATTCATGCCAGGCACCAAAAGGTGAAAAAAGTACAAATGAGAGCTACCGGTCCAACATAACTTTGCAAAAATTAAAAGAAGGTATAACGTCTGTTTTCAAATACATTATTTAGTCATGGATCAAGCTCTTAGTATTCACTATTTTGCTATGAATATTTCTCATAGGACTACCACATTTTTATGGACTGTCAATACAGTGTTACAACTCTCAATGTATTTACCAAGGAAAGACCTTTTCTTCGGCGACTCCAGCTGTTTATAGTGTTCTCCATGCCTGATTTTGTGGCTGAAGAACCGAATACTTTTTGCAACATACTGATTTTAATTTGTTATAGAAACTAGTCTTAGTGTCTCTGAGTGTATACAAACATGATAAAATTATTTATTATTTTGTATTTGCTGTTTTACAAGCAGAAATGGAACAACTTCAAATAATGTTCTCACCTTTACACTGTGGTTTCTTTCATCCTGTGTTGTTTACACTGCGGCATACAATTTTGCTTATGGTACTAATGGGCAGTGTATAGATGATAAAGAGAGAACTGGCTTTTCCAGCTGCTGAGGTGAAGTAATCCCTTTCTAATTACAACTTCTGTGCAGCCGAAGCATGAGACTATATATCTAGAATTCTTTATGGTGGTCCACTATAATCTAGAGTATTTCTGACAGATAATTCTTGTTTCCATTTTAAATAGTTTGTCCCTCTTGGAGGTGTTTAATTTATTAAATATATGTATATATGAATATATTATACATACTATGATCTATTAAAGATGTTTAAATATACGTACAATATATATAAAGCTCACTTGAAGAAGTTGGTTTGGCCAGAACCCCTCATTCCCATCAGACAAGCCTGCTCAGTTGCTGCAGGAGTTATGTGTTCAAGGGAGATGAACAGCTCATCTTGAGCAGCATCACCGAATTTTGTCTGTGTGACAAAAACTTCCCCTTCCCAAAACCATTTATGAAATGTTCAGTTTCTAATTTTATCTTCAAAATAAATACATAACTCCTCATCCCCAAGTCCATAAAAAGCTTGAAAGCATGGCCCAAAGACATCTGATAATTTCTGAACCTAGAATGGAAATATAAAGGATCCAACATGTATAAGCATTCTTAATCAAATATTGCTAGGTTAGCGCAATTCATTGTAGAAGCACAGTCAGACTTTCAAATGCTTGTGTTAGGCAGCATTTACATACTGCCTAATGGAAGAGCTAGACAGGACTGTAATAATGCAATGT